GAAAAATTAGGCTAATACATACTGTGGAAAAGGTCATTTTTGACAACTGCACCAATGTCTACTTTCTTTCCCTGCAGAGGTTGAATGTGGAGATCCAGAGATTCCATTTGGACAGTGGAGTAACGGTGCTTGACCTCCGTATGGATACTTGTCTAATGTGACATTACAGTGTAACGCTGGATACACAATGAATGGATCCGCTACTGTGATGTGTGAGCTAAATGGTCAGTGGTCACCTGGACTTCCTCTGTGTATTCGTAAGTCATAAATCATAATAATTATTTGTAAGTGCTGAGCTCAAGCACGATCTCTTTGCTCTAAGTGCAACTTCAACCCCAATTCTGAGCCTAAGTCCTCTTGCTGCATATTTATGAAAAGTGCAAAAAAGGCAGGTAAATGAAGACTAAGGGGTCCTGGCCAGTGATTTTCAGCAAAAAGTGGAGAGTATTGCTGAATGGCATTTTACCTCTACTATGAGCATGGAAATATGAATGGATCTTGGCAGCTAATATTTGATTTCTTGCATCATTAGACTTCAGTAATGTAAAGACACTTATTGAATTACAGCATTAAATTAAAGAACTAACAACAGAAGATTTTTACCATATTGACATAGATCATTACTCAGCATTTTTTTTAACAATTTCATTTCTAATCAGTAACATATATAAAGCCAATATTATGCATGAACTGTTCCTGCTGGAAAATCTGATTCAACTTTTCCATTTAAGAAACCTATACCTTGGCTTTGGGTAAATGACTACATAAATCACTAGGGACGCACTGATCTAATCAGTGGATATTAGTTTAACTGACAGAATATACAGCTACTCTGTGTCAGATCTCAACTGGAAAAAGCTGGATAAGTGTTTCTCTGCTGAGTGCATGTCCAGTGCTAGCTTTGAATTAAAAAGCTGTTTTTCTCACTGTAGGGACGACACCAGGGACCATTCTTTTTATTTATAAGCAAACATCAGGTTTGGCTTAAACATTGCTTTCAAAGCAGAAATTATGTGGTCAAAGCTGCTCCAAGACTCTAAGTACAGTAACTAACTAAACTAAGTGAAATAATACAGCATATTACAAGGTTATAAAACATAACAAAATTGCTCTAATAAATACAAATAGCTCTAATTATAATTATCTCAGTATATTACACAAAATTAAATATGTATAGCAGAAATTGACGTGCCTCTCTAATCATATCATTTCATTTTCTCTGTAGATGATTTGGTATTAAGGGTGTGCAATTACTACAATGTGTACGTGTATTTAATATGTATTTTTAAATTCCAACTTTGCCTTTATAGTCTCAATTGGACCAGTTTCCTGGTAATGATAGATAAGGTCATTTTGGATAACTGTATTGATATCCAGTTTCCTTTTTGTTTCCCACAAGTTGAATATGAAGAGTCCAAATGATGAATAGAATGAGGATTTTTAACCTCTGAAGAGATACTTGTCGTCAGCAACGTTAAAGTGTGAACCTGGATACATAATCAATGCAAACCTTACCGTGACATAAAAACGTTACTGGTCACCTGGACTTCCTTAATGTATACACATGTTATGAATTAAAATTGCTTAAGTATATGTAGCTTCACTTCTCAATTGTTGTTAAAATTTGTATTAAATACCTCAGGAGGTTGCTAGCATAATATAGAGATAATTTTGGACAATTCTAGTAATTTCCATTCTGTGAATGTGAAGATCCTGTGATTTGATATGACTGAATAATGGTCTCCTGTCTGTGGTTTTATTTCAGGGAAGATCTGGATAAGTTAAGAAAGGCCCGTGTACCCAGATATACGATATGATATAAATGGTTTGGCTACGTGGAGTGTCACAAAAGTCATCATATTTTGTTTTAGTTTGATTTCCCATTGCTGCATGTGAATGATCATACAATGTTCACTTTTTTGTTTAGAAAACACTATTTGATAAACAGTTTCCACAAGTTTTTGAACATTTCTTTTTGCTTATAATAACCTGGTTTCATGTTAATATGAAATCACTCTTTTTTTAAGTCTCAGTTTTAAACTTCAGTATAAATACATTAAATAAATTTGAATCTCTGCGTGCTTGCCAAGTAATTGTGAACAGGGGCCATGTGGAGGTCATACAAAAATGACCTGACATGTGAAGGACACATTTAAAGTATTAAGTTAATTTGTAAGGAGGTATTAAGTTAATTTGTAAGGAGGTATTAAGTTAATTTGTAAGTTTAAACGTCCATTTACACTTATGATTAAAGTTTGTATTTAAATACATTTGATTCCAGACACTTTAGTACAAGTTGTACTTTCTCTTCTGTAGGTTGTTTTAAATGTAAAAACAAATTTAAATAAATAAATAAAATAATCCTCTGAAGTTTTTGTATTTTTTTTTTTTT